AATATAAAAAAAATCCCATTTATTTTAATACTGATGGATCAATGGATAATGAAAATATCATTTATGGTTCAAGGCTAACCCAGGCAAAGTAACTGAATCTGTTTTTTTTTTTTTTTTTTTTTTTTCAACCTCTTCCTCAGAGCCACCAAGCAGTGAGACTGCGCCAGTCTCCGCCTCTGGTACAACCAGGGACGGCCCACATGTGTTTCTAGAATCTGCATTAGCTAACATATATAAGAGAGGTACAGTCTCACCGCTTGGTGGCTCTGAGGAAGAGGTTGAGACCTCGAAACGCGTTAACCTGTTATAAGTCCAAAAAAATGGAACCCTGGACTTCCATGCAATGTGGATTGGACGCCGCTGTTTAGTGTGATGTGCCTTTGACCTGTTTGCCTATTGTGAGGACGATAATTACATCCTTCCAATAAATTTTTTTTATGATAATGCACTTGGCTGGCGCGCCCTCTGCTTGTTTTTATTTGTATCCAGTGACATTGGACTACCCCGGTCCATTGAGGGCAGCAAGGAGTGCATTTTCCAGGATATCGGTTACCATAACCCTAGCCAAGTCCATCCCGAAGTGCAGGGGTACAGAGTTTGCTGTGTTTTCATAGAAGGATATGCTTTGTTCATTTTTTAGAGCTTTACAACCACTTTATTGGTTTGCCTGGAATTTAGTTGTAACCCCCCCGGCTGTATTCCTGAGTGTAGCTCAAGGTAAAGTTTCAGCACCACAAGTGGTAACCCCGAGCTACACTCGGGAATGCACTGCAGCGTTGCTCCGGGATCCCTCAATCACTTACCTTGTCCTGCGCTCCCGCGATGTCCCTCCTGCAGTGTCCCCTGTAATGTCCTCCGGCCGATGCCGGCATCTGTCTTCCGGGTTCTGTTCCCTGCGACGTCAGGACATACGGGGGACGGAACTGGCGGGAAATTAAAAAATGTGAAAAAGTGACATTCACTAAAATCACATAGTATAACATTCCTGTATCAAACCATTTCACATACATTTTGTCCCGAGTGCTTTGTCCGGCGCCCTGCCTGCATTTTTACTGTTCTTTCTGCCTGGAAACTGAGAAACGTCCATGGCATCCAAAAAGCGTCCCTTTAGGTCAAAAGCGGTTTTAGACCGGCTAGAGAACAGCGATAGTAAATCAGAACCACTTGCAGAATTGAGTGATAATGATTCGTGGGGGAAATTCCTCATCAGACACTGAAAACGATTCTGCGACTTTGCTCAGCGATGTGCAAACTTGGCGCTATATTTCACATTTCAGTGTTTTTGGTTTGATTATATTATTGAATTACATTTATTTTATTATATATTATTTTTTATAATTATTTATTAAATTATAATTTATGATTTCTTGTTTCAAATTTTATCATCTCCGGGATGTTTACTAGACTCTTGTTCGGACAGATTTCAGGGAGTTATTCCTAAAAATTACAGCCTACAATAAAAAAATCAACATATTTCCATGCAAAAAAAATGTACCGCTTTGAGCACAGAAATAGTGACATAATCAGACTGCTAGGGGGGTTAAACCCCCTCTGTCACACAGAATTTGGGAATGCTTTCTACATAGCTTCAGCAAAGGAACCATTATTTTTCAAAGTGATAGTACAATACACAGGAAAACTCTTGTAGTGGTTTTAGTCACTTCTTTGAAATAAAACAATTCTTAAAAAAAAAAAAAAAAAAAAAAAGGTTACAAAACGAAAATTAAATGTGTCAGGTGTGTTAATAACCGTAACAATCAACAGATCAGCTGATCACTCTGCATTCTGGTCACAATGAATCTGATGAGAACATTAAAAAAAATAATAGAAAAAAAAAAAAGAACAGGTAAAGTACCATTAAAGGCCAACCCTCCCCCCAAAAACTGATCAGTTTTACATGATTGCTGGCAAAATGAATGACATGCTATTATTTTAACATATCATGAGGATGCTGGCTGGGCAGGTATGGGTCACTGTAGTCATTATTAAGAAGCTGGTTCAGATCGCTGATAAGCAGCTGATGCTGGAGCGTGCAACGGACAGACCGGAGGAGATCAGCAGCTCTAAAAGGCAACAAAAACAATTAAGGGGCAAAAAAAGGGAAAAAAAAAAAAGTGTATTTCATGACTTTAAAAAAAATGGCAACTGTATATGATACACCAAATTATTGCAAACTAAAGGGAAATGCAACAAAAAAAAATTAAGGGGCAAAAAAAGAAAAAAAATTTATTTTATGACTTTAAAAAAAATGGCAACTGTATATGATACACCGAATTATTGCAAACTAAAGGGAAATGCAACAAAAAAAATTAAGGGGCAAAAAAAAGGAAACAAAAATGTTTTTTATGACTTAAAAAAAAATGGCAACTGTATGATACACCAAAAATTATTGCAAACTAAAGGGAAATGCAACAAAAAAATTAAGGGGCAAAAAAAGGGAAAAAAATGTATTTTAGGACTTTTAAAAAAAATGGTAACTGTATATGATACACCAAATTATTGTAAACTAAAGGGAAATGCAACAAAGAAAATTAAGGGGCAAAAAAAGGAAACAAAAATGTTTTTTATGACAAAAAAAAATGGCAACTGTATATGATACACCGAATTATTGCAAACTAAAGGGAAATGCAACAAAAAAAATTAAGGGGCAAAAAAAATGTATTTTATGACTTTTAAAAAAAATGGCAACTGTATATGATACACCGAATTATTGCAAACTAAAGGGAAATGCAACAAAGAAAATTAGGGGCAAAAAAAGTTAAAAAAATGTATTTTATGACTTAAAAAAAAATGGCAACTGTATATGATACACCGAATTATTGCAAATTAAATGTCATCCAGTTAGGATTTACAGTAACAGTTGACATCTGTCAGACAGTAACAACCAATAGCTGCTGCGTAGTGTAATTCATACGGTTGTCTTCAGTTTGCTCCATAGACAGGATTGTACAGATTACCAACTTCTATCATAGTCCCAAGGCTTCTATTGCACATACATTTTTCTGGAAATTTCCACAGGATCAAGATAATACCAAAATGATAAACATAACATACACAGCAGTATATAACCCGTTCTTTAAATGAAAAAAAAAAAAAACAAAAGCAAAAAACATTAAAGCTGAACTTTGGGATAAGTGAATCTATTTGTATTTCTTCCAGGTCTGTGAAATAATCCAGTGTGATACTTTCCCTCTGTGCAGGAGCTTCCTGTGATGAAGACCGCACACTGCTGCTCTCTCTCCTTGTGCAGGGTGACCGGTGTTGTCTCCACCCCCCTCCAGTAGTGGGTGGTGCCTGCAAGGTCCCTCCCACAGCTTTTCTCTCTGCACAGGCCATATAGAGGACAGTGATGACATCACTGCTGGTTTGGTGGCTATTGAGGAATATATTTAAATAAATGGTTTTGCAACCAGAATTCAGCTTTGAGTCCAAGGAAGGGGTGAAACGCGTAAATGGAAAGGATCCTGGGTCCATCCCACAGCATTGCTCTTTGCACAGGCTATGTAGAGAACAGTGATGACATCTTTACTGCATGGGTGGCTATTGAGGACAATATTTAAATAAATGGTTTTGTGGCCAATATTCAGATCGGAGAAGTAGAAGAAGGGGGTAAAACGTGTCAAAGGAAGGATCCTGGGTCCCTCCCATAGCTTTGCTCTGTGCAAAGTCCATGTAAAGGACAGTGATGCCATCACTGCTACTTTGGTGGCTATTGAGGATTATATTTAAATAAATGGTTTTGTAACCAGAATTCAGTTTTGAGTTCCAGGAAGAGGTGAAACGTGTTAGTGAAAGGATCCTGCGTCCATCCCACAGCTTTCCTCTTTGCACAGTCTATGTGGAGGACAGTGATGAAATCACGGCTGCTTTGAAGGCTATTAGGGAAAATATTTAAATAAATGGTTTTGTGACCAGTATTCAGATCAGAGCCCTAGAAGGGGTGAAACGCGTTATTAAAGGACCCTGGGTCCCCCACAGATTTGCTCTGTGCACAGGGCCATGTAGAGGACGGTGATGACTTCACTGGTACTTTGCTGGCTTTTGAGGAATATATTTAAATAAATGGTTTTGAGACCAGAATTCAGCTTTGAGTTCTAGAAGGGGTGAACCGCGTTATAAAGAACCCTGGGTCCCTCCCACAGCTTTGCTCTGTGCACAGGGCCATGTAGAGGACAGCGATGACTTCACTGCTACTTTGCTGGCTATTGAGGAATATATTTAAATAAATGGTTTTGTGACCAGTATTCAGATCAGAGTCCTAGAAGGGGGTGAAACGCGTTAGTGAAAGGATCCTGGGTCCCTCCCACAGCTTTGCTCTCTGCACAGGGCCATGTAGAGGACAGCGGTGACTTCACTGCTACTTTGCTGGCTATTGAGGAATATATGTAAATAAATGGTTTTGACACCAGAATTCAGCTTTGAGCCCCAGGAGGGGGTGAAACGCGTTAGTAAAAGGATCCTGGGTCCCTCCCACAGCTTTGCTCTGCGCACAGAGAAATATATGTAAATAAAAGATTGTGAGCCCTGGAGTTCAGCTTTAAAGTTGAAACAAAAAGGCAAACCAACTGAAATGATTCCAGGACAAACTATGCAATTCTACATAAAACAGAAACATTGATGCAAAGGCTTGTATCTTTTTTTTTTTTTTCCAGAATCTATCAGATTGGGCAATACTGGCAATTGCAGAAGGCAAATAACCGCATTATTATACCGTAACTCCTCCTCCTTGGCTTTGTGGCATGTGGACGCAACTTTGAGGGGGGAGGGACCGTTACCTCGAGTTCTTCGGAAGTGAGGTCAACAGATGCGCTGCAGATACTATGAAGTTTTTCGACATAAATAATGTCCTCAAATGTCTCTTAAGGAAGTCATTGAGATGCACTGAAAAGGAAAATGAACCGTGAAGGTCAATACCCATGCGGATGGATCAAGCTCAACCGTAGGGTGTGCTGCGATGATGGCGTCAGATGGGGGGGGGGGGGGGCACACCGTTCTCCTCCTCACAGACTGCCGATGTTGGGGAAACTCTTCAGCTTCTCTGGGAAGTCATCTTTGTACAGGACGGGGTCTGCCCGTGCTCCACCACTTTCAGAGGCATGGTGCCAAAGACGCTGGCGAATTTATTAATGCATTCTGACCTGGGGGAAGGAATACGCAGCGAAGACAACGTGATTTATGACGCCGGAGGCAGGAGCTGCTAATAAACATTTATGGATATTTCAGCAATCTACCAAACGGCAGACTTCTACTTTCACTGCTTTGATATCTAGAGCTATGATCTGTTGTTATTTTATAGAGAACTTTACGGTCGCTCATCAAAAGTGTGCAACCTTTATTGTGCAACAAGAATATCAAATAAAATGGTTAGCACATCCGCCTGGCAGTACTAGGGTCGTTGGTTCGAATCCCAACCACGGCACCACCTGCCTGGAGTTTGCATGTTCTCCCTGTGTGGGTTTCCTCCCACACTCCAAAGCCATGCTGGTAGGTGAATTGGCTCCTGCCTAAATTGTCCTAGTTCATCCCTGGCCATGTGGGATCTCCTGCATGGTAGGGGTTGGGGAAAGACCTGGCAACCTACCCTGTAAAAATAATTGCTAAGAGAATTCATGGAAAAAGTCGCTTACGAGTGACGGCCCATGCAATCACCAAGGGTGGGATACGACTGAATGGATAGATAGAGATGTGTATGTATGAATGTGAGTTAGGGACCTTAGACTGTACACCCCTTGAGGGTTAGGGACCTTAGATTGTACGCCCCTTGAGGGTTAGGGACCTTAGATTGTACGCCCCTTGAGGGTTGGGGACCTTAGATTGTACCCCTTGAGGGTTAGGGACCTTAGATTGTACCCCTTGAGGGTTAGGGACCTTAGATTGTACACCCCTTGAGGAATGGGGACCTTAGATTGTACACCCCTTGAGGGTTGGGGACCTTAGATTGTACACCCCTTGAGGGTTAGGGACCTTAGATTGTACACCCCTTGAGGAATGGGGACCTTAGATTGTACACCCCCTTGAGGAGGGACCTTAGATTGGGCCCCTTGAGGGTTAGGGACCTTAGATTGTACACCCCTTGAGGAATGGGGACCTTAGATTGTACACCCCTTGAGGAATGGGGACCTTAGATTGTACACCCCTTGAGGGTTAGGGACCTTAGATTGTACGCCCCTTGAGGAATGGGGACCTTAGATTGTACACCCCTTGAGGAATGGGGACCTTAGATTGTACACCCCTTGAGGGTTAGGGACCTTAGATTGTACACCCCTTGAGGGTTAGGGACTGATTGAATGTACAATATATATGTAAAGCGCTGTGTAAATTGACAGCGCTATTAAGTACCTGAAATTAATATATAAAAAATACCTTAGATTGTACACTAATTGAGGGTTAGGGACCTTAGATTGTACACGCCCCTTGAGGGTTAGGGACTGATGGGAATGTACAATATATATGTAAAGTGCTGCGTAAATTGATGGCGCTATATAAGTACCTGAAATAAATAAAAATAAAATAAATCCGTGAAAAGTGCTAAATTTATACAGCTTGTAGAGCTCTCAAAAAAGGGGGATCTGAAGTTACACTTGAGGGTTAGGGACTGATGTGAATGTACAATATATTTATTTATTTCAGGTACTTATATAGCGCCATCAATTTACGCCACGCTTTACATATATATTGTACATTCACATCAGTCCCTAACCCTCAAGTGTAACTTCAGATCCCCCTTTTTTGAGAGCTCTACAAGCTGTATAAATTCAGCACTTTTCACAGATTTATTTTATTTTCATTTCTTTAAGGTACTTATATAGTCAATTTATGCAAATATATATTGTACATTCAGTGCCTAACCCTCAAGGGGTGTACAATCTAAGGTCCCTAACTTACATTCATACATACACATACTAGGGGCAATTTAGACAGGAGCCAATTAACCTACCAGCATGTCTTTGGAGTGTGGGAGGAAACCCACGCAGGCACAGAGAGAACATGCAAACTCCAGGCAGGTGGTGCCATGGTTGGGATTTGAACCAATGACCCTACTACTGCCAGGTGGAAATGCTAACCATTCAGCCACTGTGCTGCCCATGTATATGTAAAGCGCTGTGTAAATTGACAGCGCTATAAAAGTACCTGTAATAAATAAATAAAAGAACACAGGCCGAGGACGTAAAACTAAAACTTGCTTTGCACAAGTCAGGTTCAGGACCAGGACAACAGCCCCAGTGATCTCTTTAAAACGTCATTTCCCCCAACTTACAACAATGTTCTGGAGCCGCTCGCCACCTCCAGAGGGTAAATGAACTTTACTGTTCAGCACCAGAGCTCGCAGCTGCCTGTACAACTAAACCCAATAGGGTGAAACGCGTAGCTATGTGTGGCTACAGGCACAGACTGTGCAGGAAGCCGGTGCTTTTACTATCTTTTTTTTTTTTGTCAATAAATGTTTATAAAATATAAAAAATTAAAAAAAAAAAACCCCATGCAGGCTATTCCACAGTTTGTGGGACGGACGTGTACAAATGATCGTTCAATATTGAGTTAAGAAATGAGAACAAACAGCGCACAGGTAATCTTGTCGTCAAACAAGAGCTGAAGTTTGGTGCTTTTACTATTTTGACGACATCAGTGTGCAGCCTTGATTCCCACTCCACCAAACACTGGTCACTGCTTCCTTGTGCAGGGAAAATGGTCTCGTCTCCGCCCTCTCCTCTAGTTTGCTGCCGACAGCCTATAGTGGGAGGGGCCTGCTGGGTCCTAAAGGAGTATCTGTTCATCATGGTCTTGTAATTTCCACCTGTGTTATTGGACTAGTCCCCTAGTTCATGTCCTGAGCCAGAATTGCATGTAGTGGGAGGAGCTGTGGGCGGAAACATGAAAGGCGGGCTGAAGACATCAGCAATAAATTAATTACACCAACTGGACTAATCACGCACAGAGAACTACACTGGGCCAATGAGGGCAGTGATGCCCATGCGGTTAACAATCGGCAGAAAGTTTATGGTCCCCAGGGCGGGAAATGGCGCTCAAAGCGCTAGTAAAATTGGACTTTAAAAAGGGATATTGTTGTATGGATCAGGATTATGCTTTGACGGAAGGCAACAAGGTACAATAAAGGCTATACACAAAATCATTTAGATTTTTGCCTGGAGGGGGGCTTTAAAATATGGTTGGCAATTGAATGCTTATAGCCTGGTTTATCCTAAAGTGATACTAAAGCCTTGTTTACAGGTAAAGTTGATCCAGGGAATATCCGATTGCCTCTCCGGGGATCAGGAAGGAATTGTTTTACCCTGCAGGAGCAAATTGGATCGTGCTTTGCTGGGTTTTTTGCCTTCCTCTGGATCAACTGTGGGTGTAGGATTATAACTTTTTTTTTTTTTTTTTTTTTTTAATGGTTGAACTGGATGGACTTTTGTCTTTTCTCAGCCAGACTAACTATGTAACTAGGTTTATTTTTTTTTCTTTTTAAAATAACAAACATGTTATACTTACCTGCAGTAGTTTTGCACAGACCAGCCCCGATCCTCCTCTTCTTGGGTGCCCCGCCAGCGATTCTGGCTCCTACCCCCTGAGCTGTGCCCCCATAGAAAGCCGCTTGCTATGGGGGGCCACTGGTACGTGCTTATCCCTGAGCCACCCCCACCTTCTCACAGGCTGTGATTAACAGCAGCGGAGGAGAGAGAGAGGAACGCCTGTCAAATTCTCCCTGAAAATCTGAACGTGGATAGCTTTTCAGAGACCAAAGTAAGTAATGACTAGCCCTATGGGCCCCTTTATGAATAAAGAGGAAGGAAGAAAGAAAGAGAAGAAAGAAAGGAAAGGAAGAGAGAAAAAGAGAGAAGAGAAGGGAAGGAAAATTTCTGTGTTTTTTAGTCTCAAGCTGCGTTCTTATATGGGAACGCAGAAACGGCGTAGTTCTAAATACAAAGAGCCATAGCGACCAATCAGAATCCACCTTTCAGATGACAGACTAGTACAGGATGGATGTTGGATGGTTTCCCATAGCAATCAGATTCTCCCTATCCTCCCAGTGAAGTATAGGAGACACATCTAGAGAGGAGACCAAGGGAAAAGCACAAGAGGCGTGAGCTGGATAGCCGGAGAAGGGGTTAATCAGCCAGCCAGGCAGGCAATAAGAGACCTGCACAGGGGATACGTACAGCCCTATTCCCTCCTGTGGGTCTTCCAATCCCCCCCTCACATTCCTGCCATTCCTGCAGCCGATTGCTTGACAGGAGAGCAATCAGCCCTCGGCCCCAGCTACAGATAAGGCCTGAATGGTGAAGTTCCTACATATGGACAGAGATGACGGCTTACATAACTCAGAGAGCCTGTTAACCCCCTCCCAGCTGGGCCTTTCTGAAGCATTGGCAGGTCAACCATAATTCTCTGGAAGGCTTGTCCTAATGACCACTAAGGACAGTAGGTCTCCCGGTGACCTCTCTTGGCCCACAGACCTTGCCACATAATATTTTGCTAGACATGAAAGGCTTGTTCAGTTAAAGTGGAGTTCCCTCTGTTCTCAATGCCCCCTTGGTGTACATTCCTAAATGTATATATATATATATATCCATTTAGAAATGTACACCAGGGGGGTATTGAGAACAGAGGGACTTGTAAATATATAGTTTTTCGAAATACCTTTTTTTTTTTTAAGGGATCCGAATGGCACTTCTGGTCCCAGGCACCTACGCGTTGACATCGTTAGGTGATTCCCATGGACTCCTGGGATATTGGTATTTTTTTATATATTTCATATATTTATTACAGGTATGTCATCCCGGTCCTGACCCTGTGCAAATCAACTTTCAGTTTTACATCCCTGGCCTTTTTAAAAAAATTGTATTTATTTCAGGTACTCATATAGCACCGTCAATTTACGCAGCGCTTTACATACAGTTTGGTCCATATATATTTGGACACAGGCACAATTTCAGTTTTTTTTCAGGTATTTTCCAAAACATATTCAAGCTATAGTTCTATAATGGATATGGGCGGACAGTGCACACTCTCTGGTTTAATTTGAGGGTATGTACATCCAAATTGGAAGAAGGGTTTATGAATTACAGCTCGTAAGAGTAGCCATCCCCCCTTTTTCAAGGGAGCAAAAGTAATTGGACAATTGAATCAAAAGCTGTTTTATGGCCAGGTGTGGGCTACTCCTTCGTTATTTATTCATCAGTTAAGCAGGTAAAGGTCTGGAGTTGATTCTAACGTGCGGTATTTGCATTTGGAATCTATTGCTGTGAACCTACATCATGCGGTCAAAGGAGCTGTCCATGCAAGTGAAAGCGGCCATTGTAAGGCTTCAAAAACTAAACAAATCCATCAGAAAGATCGCAGCAACATTAGGAGTGGCCAAATCAACAGTTTGGTACATTCTGAGGAAAGAAGAACGCACTGGTGAGCTCAGCAACATAAAAAGGCATGGACGTCCATGGAAGACAACAGTGGTGGATGATCGCAGGATCCTCTCTATGGTAAAAAAAAAAAACCATTCACGACATCCAGACAAGTGAAGGACACTCTCCAGGAGGTTGGCGTATCATTGTCAAAGTCTACAATCAAGAGAAGACTTCACGAGAGCAAATACAGAGGGTTCACCACAAAGTGCAAACCATTCATAAGCCTGAAGAATAGAAAAGCCAGATTAGACTTTGCCAGAAAACAAAAAAGCCAGACCAGTTCTGGAAAAGCATTCTTTGGACGGATGAAACTAAGATTAATCTGTACCAGAATGATGGGAAGACAAAAGTGCAGAGAAGGCTTGGAACAGCTCATGATCCAAAGCACACAACATCATCTGTAAAACATGGTGGAGGCAGGGTGATGGCATGGACATGCATGGCTTCCAGTGGCACTGGGTCATTGGTGGTTATTGATGATGTGACAGAAGACAGAAGCAGCCGGATGAATTCTGCAGTGTTTACAGATCTACTGTCACCCCAGATTCAGCCAAATGCAGCAAAGTTGATTAGACGGCACTTCATAGTACAGATGGGCAATGATCCAAAACACACTGCAAAAGCAACCCAGGAGCTTTTGAAGGAAAAGAAGTGGAATATTCTGCAATGGCCGAGTCAATCACTTGATCTCAACCCAATTGAGCATGCATTTCACTTGCTGAAGGCAAAACTAAAGGCAGAAAGAGCCACAAACAAAGAACAACTGAAGACAGCTGCAGTTAGAGCCTGACAAAGCATCAGAAAGGAGGAAACCGAGCCTTTGGTCATGTCCATGGGTTCCAGACTTCAGGCAAAGCATCAGAAAGGAGGAAACCCAGTCATTGGTCATGTCCGTGGGTTCCAGACTTCAGGCAAAGCATCAGAAAGGAGGAACCCCAGTCTTTGGTCATGTCCATGGGTTCCAGACTTCAGGCAGTCATTGCCAGTAAAGGATTCTCAACAAAATATTACAAATAAACATTTTATTTATGATTATATTCAATTGTCCAATTACTTTTGGTCCCTTAAAAAGGGGGGATGGCTACTCTTAAGAGCTGTAATTGATAAACCCTTCCTCCAATTTGGATGTACATACCCTCAAATTAAACCTGAGAGTGCGCACTTTCAGCCCATATCCATTATAGAACTATAGCTTGAATATGTTTTGATAAATACCTGAAAAAAACTAAAATCGTGCCTGTGTTCAAATATAAATGGACCTAACTGTATATATTGTACATTCCCATCAGTCCCTAACCCTCAAGGGGTGTACAATCTAAGGTCCCTAACTCACATTCATACATGCACATACTAGGGCCAATCTAGACAGGATCCAATTAACCTACCAGCATGTTTTTGGAGTGTCATCTATCCCAGGAGTCCTCGGGAAGCCAATAGTTAAATCTCACAGTATTTTTGGGAACTACTGTTTTGTGTTGATTGACAGGTTTCCATAACAATGGGGCGGGAACTTCCACTGCCGCCGCCACCATTGAAACCTGTAATCGTCTAATTGCGCCTCGCAGTGTCATTACTGCGCAGGCATGAGATCAGGAGATGCATGCTGGGTAGCCAGTTGCACCTAATCCTGGAAATACACGAGCGGGCTTCAGATGCCCACATCCGAGATGGCCCCTGCCTGCTTCCGAGATCATGTAAGAGATAAATCACTTAAAGTAACTAGCATAAAGACAGTTAGGACATGATGCTAATATTAATGTGCAAGTACTATCAATCACAGGGGAGCTTTTTTTAAAAAAAAAAAAAAAAACTAATTAGGGGAACTAATTAGGGGGGAAGCTTAAAACTCCACTTTAAGCTTTGAAAATGTAAGATTAAAGCTGATTGGTGGCCATGCACAGCTGCTCACATTTTGATACATTCCCTTCAATCAAAACTAGAAGAGTTACAGTAATTGCAAAGGATCAGTTTTTTTTTTTCAAAATAACAAACTTAAAGAGAAGTATGATTTTCAGGAAAAAAAGGTGCACTTAGGTGGACGCAGCATCGGTCCGCTGCTGCATCCAGGGCTGGGACGAGCGGTGAGCAGGGGGAGCAGCTGCCCTGGTACTGTGGTATTATATGAGGGTGGGGAGCACCACAATGAGATTGGGGGGGGGGGGGAGAATTTGTGTTGGGCGGGGAATTTGAGGGGCAGCAGGGGGTATGAAGTGATCTAGAAGGGGAAATCTGGGAAGGTAGAGGGGACAGGGGAATTTGTGCTAGGAGGGGAATTTTTTTTTTTTTTGGGGGGGGGAGGGGGGTATTTGTGCTTGTAGGGTATTTCTGCTAGGAGGGGAAATTGTAGGGGTAGAGGATTTGTGTTGGGAGGGGGGAATTTTATTTTGTGCTGGGGGCATATGAAGAGAGAGAGGATTTGAGCTACGGGGGATGAACATTTGTGCTGGGAGGGGAGATCCAGCTCTGTGATGTCAGGTAACAGCGGGAGTTAGCCCACCGTCGGCTGAAAACGGGTCACGGTAGTGCAGAATGAACTGCACTACGGTGACCTACAGGAGAAGTACAGCCAAAATAGCTTTGGCTATACTCCTCTAACTGCTCTGTGCAATGGTTTTGCACAGAGCAGGCCTGATCCTCCTCTTCTGGGGTACCCCGCTGGCGCTCTTAGCTCCTCCCCTTGACTGAGTGCCCACCACAGCAAGCCACTTGCTATAGGGTCACTTGTGCAGGCTCGCTCCTGAGCCGGCTCTGTGTGTCCAAAGACACACAGAGCATGGCTTGGCCCCATCACCAACTCCCTCGTCACTCCCTGGGATTGACAGCTGCGGGAACCATTGCTGTCTTTGAGCCAATGAGGAGGGAAAGAGCCTCTGCCCTTATGTAAAGCTTTTGCTGAAGATAGGGCTCTGGTAAGTAAAGGGGGGGCTGGGAGGGAGCTGCATGCAGAAGGTTTTTTTTTTTTACTATAATGCATAGAAAGGTAAAAATCTTCTGTTTTCCATCTACTTTAAAGGCAGCTTACCTTTCCACCATATGTGTCTGGTCCAGGGAAAGGCCATCGATTGCGGTGCATTCTGGACATTTAAACTTCTTCCTTGGCGTGACCTGTGAGAAGGAAAAAAAAAAAAATATTGTTGAAGGTGACAACTGACAGATGAAATATTGTTTACCCATCACAGGACATTTCTCTGTTATGATATGCGGCTTGTCATCCTCTGGCTAGAGGCTACACATCTCGGGTAGCTCAGGGCTAAGCCTGAAATCCAACGAAAACAGACTGCGGGATTTGCATGCTCTCCTCCTCTCCCATTTCTATGCGAGGTGAAAAAAAAAACTGGCGATGACAAGCCCTTTAATTCCCTTTTAATGACTTCTCACACCGCTAAGGTCCCTGTGTAAACATCATATGGTGTGGTGAAGTTTTCTAGCTGCTCGCGGCTCCTCTGTACCCTTCACCCACCGCGGCAGACGAGCCGTGTGGTGCCTCAGCGCGGAGGTAATCCCTGCCAGAAAAGAGATAGGAGCCAACGATTTGGTCCTCAAACCTTCCGCGGAGATGGCGGGGGGGGGGGGGCCAGAGCCACCAACCTACAGCGGCGATCACAGGCGGAGAAGGTGTCACCGCGGCATCTGATAGGGGGCTGGCGGTGACAGCACAGGAAATGAATGCGCGAAGGGCCAGCGATCAAAGCAAAGCCGCTACGGCCAAGATACCCCCGGTAATGCGGGGGGATTGGGGAAGTTGATTGCGAGATCATTTTTAAATTAACATTCGCAAGGAGTAAAATTTGTAATTAACATTCCTTGAGTCAGCTGTCCCGGGGCGGACAGATGGTCATCTATATAGGGCTTCCAGTGATTCCTCTCCCAAAATCTTAACAACGGTTGGTTTTGGCGACTGCGGAAACACAGCGATTCGATACACAAGGCTGTGCCCGCATGAAGAAGTGTCAACAAATTAGAATTATCAAAGGTCAGACCTCAAAGGTTAGAGGACACCCACCTTCCCCCATTGAGCCGGTTTTCCTTTTAATTTACATTTGTTTTATATGAAGCTTTTTCTGAGATTTCTTCAGTCCAGTTGTAACATCCTTGGATCCTCCACTGTCTTCGGAGCCAGCGGGTTTTAATCAATGATGTTGAGAACAGCAAATCATATACAGTGAAGGAAATAAGTATTTGATCCCCTGCTGATTTTGAATGTTTGCCCACTCAGTGCCCGAGTTTCCAAATGGTCAGTCCGCCCCTGTACTGTACGCAGGGACGGATTGACAACTCATGGGGCCCCCGGGCAATAGGGGATCATGGGGCCCCTGTGTCCTTGCCCAAACTCAAAAAAGCCTATGAAAAAGGTACCAGGGGCATCTCATGGGGCCCCCTACTGACCTCGGGCCGTCGGGCAGTGCCCGAGTTTCCAAATGGTCAGTCCGCCCCTGCACTGTACGTTATATTTATTTATTTCAGGTACTTATATATATACATATACAGTGCAGGAAATAAGTATTTGATCCCCTGTTGATGTTGAATGTTTGCCACTCACAAAGAAATGATCGGTCTAAAAATCGAATGTTCGGTGTACTGTAACACTGAGAGACAGAACAGCAACAACAAATTCAAAAGAAATGCATGTCTAACAAAATGATGACTGATTTGCATGTTCATGAGGGACAATCTTGTCCCTGACATCCTTGGACAGCTCTTTGGTCTTTGCCATGGTGGAGAGTTTGGAATCTGATGGTTTGATTGCTCCTGTGGACAGGTGTCTTTTATACAGGTAACAAAATGAGATTAGCAGCACTCCCTTTAAAAGACTGCTTCTAATCTCAGCTTGTTACCTGTATGAAAGACACCTGGTAGCCAGAAATCCTGCTGAATGATAGGGGATCAAATACTTAATTCCCTCATGAACATGCAGATCAGTCATCATTTGTTAGACATGCATTTCAGCTGAATTTTTTGTTGCTATTCTGTCTCTCAGTGTTATAATACACCGAACATTCAATTTTTAGACGGATCATTTCTTTGTGAGTGGGCAAACGTTCAAAATCAGCAGGGGATCAAATACTTATTTCCTTCACTGCCGGCGCTGCTCTCTGTATCATTCTCCTGTGAGCCAAGGCTGGCTTGTTGAGGCCCCTCCAGCAGGTGTACCCTTGTCGCCCTGGGCTCAAAGGAAGTGGGTTGAATGACACTTGGGTGTCAACAAAGAAGAGGAGCAGTGATAGGCACCACCCTGGAACTATAAAAGGGCAAGCAAGCAATGATTTGGGACTTTTTTTTTTTTAATGAAAGAAAAGAGATTTGACTTTTTTTTGTTTAAATAACAAACATACTTACGTGCTCTGTGCAATGGTTTTGCACAGAGCAGCCGTGAGAGTCCAATAACATGTGTAGGATGCTTGTTCAGGGTGCTGATCAGAGAGCCTTGCTAGCATAAGGTAGGATCTTTATACAGGGGCTAGTGGTTAGAACGTTGGGGTCAATCCCACTAGGAAATATTTTCCTTATGCGTTTCAGTCCAGAAAAGACCTTATTCATAGCCAATCCCTGAGTGAGTGTATTTCCTCCCATAATTCAAAAACAGGCCGATAGGTTACTTTGTGTCTGACCAAATAGTCATTACAGTTGTGTCTGCAGCCAGGGCATTAGACTATGTGCTCCTCTGGGGCGGAGACCAAGGTTAATGGGCATAATTAGTTTTCTGTATAATGCTAAGGTAATATGTTAGCATTATATGAAGAAAAAAAAAAAAAAAAAGTCTGAAACTTTATTTCCATATGGGTTTCTTTACTACCATGTTACTCTAGAGCAGGGCTTGAAAAAGCCGTTTGCCCACTCGCCAAATGCGAGGAGAAATTCCTCTGTGGCGAGCGGCCACAGAGGAACAGATGAAGAAGCATGGAACGACTGCACCTGCGCTCCAAGCCTCATTGTGAAGCCGAGTTCCGGTTTACAACTTCCGGTTTCCGCGGCATCGCCATTACTTTGGCAGCGCCGTTGAGGGGACACGTGCAGGAGAGGTCCGCTCTCCTACGCTGAGAGGAGACACCCTCCCCACCGCCGCGGGGGACTCAAGGCCAGCTCTACACCTCCTTGAGGGACACGAGGCCCGCTCTCCACCACCTTGGGGGACGCGAGGCCCGCTCTCCACCCGACTTGGGGGAAGCGAGGCCCGCTCTCCACCGCCTTGGGGGAAGCGAGGCCCGCTCTCCACCGCCTTGGGGGACACGAGGCCCGCTCTCCACCGCCTTGGGGGACACGAGGCCCGCTCTATACCGCCTTGGGGGACACGAGGCCTGCTCTCCACCGCCTTGGGGGACACGAGGCCTGCTCTTTACCTCCTTGGGGGACACGAGGCCCGCTCTCCACTGCCTTGGGGGACATGAGGCCCGCTCTCCACTGCCTTGGGGGACATGAGGCCCGCTCTCCACCGCCTTGGGGGACACGAGGCCCGCTCTCCACCGCCTTGGGGGACACGAGGCCCGCTCTACACTGCCTTGGGGGACACGAGGCCCGCTCTACACTGCCTTGGGGGACACGAGGCCCGCTCTCTACACTGCCTTGGGAGACACGAGGCCCTCTATACCTCCTTGGGGGACACGAGGCCCGCTCTCCACCGCCTTGAGGGACACGAGGCCCGCTCTCCACCGCCTTGGGGGACACGAGGCCCGCTCTCACCGCTTTGGGGGACACGAGTAAGGTTTGTGCCTGGCAAGTAGGTCTGGACTCTAAATTTTAACCCCTGCTCTAGAGCAGGGGTCTCCAAACTTTCTAAAAAAAAAGGCCAGTTTACTGTCCTTGAGAGTTTAGGAGGGTCAGATTGGCCATTGGGAGTAGAAACAGTCCTGATGTCAGTGGCAGGAATGGCACCCCATCAATGGTGTTATTGGGAGGAATTCTGCCTAATTATTGGTGTCATTGGGCCCCTTCATTGGAGTCATTGGAGGAAATGATGCCCCATTGTTGGTATCAGTGATGAAATAGTGCCCGAAGGGTTGGATAAAAGCAAGCAAAGGGCCACATCTGGCCCTCGGGCCGCAGTTTGGAGACAACTGCTCTACAGGAAGAAGAGAATAATTATAGACTTACCTTAATAGGAGCTTTCCCTGTTACATTGGCAACCAGGAAGTTCATAGCGATGTCTTCGCAGTTCATGTGCGCGTCCACCCAGCTCTTAATGTCTCCTGGCATTTTGTAGGTGTACAGGTAGTTGAAATACTGCCCATTGGAACATGAAAGGGACAGGAGATAAAACCAGCGTTAGTCTAGCAATATAATGGCATTAGAATTATATAGCTATCTGAGCTCTGTTGGATAACAAAACACTCATCCGCACCAGAAGCTTATGGTCGGAACAGGGAGCCCGGGTTCACATATACGCGGTGCGGTATATCGCATGTGGTTCGCACAGGAACCGCACCGCATTCCTATGCAAATCACCTGCGATTTGTATGCGGTGTGATTGGAGCCATACATTTTGTATGGCTCTAATCGCACCGCACCAAAAATGTGCAGGACCAGGGGCAGACTTACCATTTGGAAACTCGGGCACTGCCCAAGGGCCCGGGGTCAGTAGGGGGCCCCATGAGATGCCCCTGGTACCTTTTTCATAGGCTTTTTTTTGAGTTTGGGCAAGGACACAGGGGCCCCATGATCCCCTATTGCCCGGGGGGCCCCATCAGTTGTCAGTCTGCCCCTGTCCAGGACCCTTTTTTGGGTCCACACTAGAATCGGATTGCATGGGTATTCACACCTATGCGATCCGATTCTGCACATCGCACTGCGTTTTGCGGACCGCTTTCAGGGTGTTGTTAATTTAACATACATACCCGCAGCGGTTCGCATGTATGGGTGCGATTCTGATGCGGTGCGGAATTCGCACTGAAAAGCTGCGAATTCCGCACCACAGCAGTGTGAACCAGGGCAGAATGTTCATTTGCAAAGTATAAATTTAAAGAAAAAAAAAAAAGGCAAACTTTGCCTTATGTTGTAAAAATGCAAGGCACTGCCCCCACCACTGGCACAGAGTGGACACTAGCCCATAACACTAAGGCTGGGTACGGGAACAGCTGCTTTTTTTTTTTTTTTTTTTGTAAAGGCGATTTGCAGTGGATCACCTTTCAGGTTGCGGCCTAGCAACTGCTATCAGGTGTTCAGAAGGTGACACTGCCGCCTCCTGAATGTATTATGTAGTATGGAGCACAGCTTAGAAATGTTGGTTATTTTTAAATATAACATTCTTATCCTTCCCTAGTGTCTCCCTTTCCTATGATGGCAAACGTAATTACTCTGTGATCACAATTTTCTAACTTATCCCTTTCACATCTGCAATCGATTCTGTTTAGATTGAAAGTAGAAGGGTCGGCAGAGCATTATTTCTACTTGGGGCTTCCACCATTTAAATTGTTCTGCATCACGCTCAAAAAATGATGAGTCTTAATTGAGTGTGCAGTTCTGTCTGCCCAATCAATATCAGGATAGTTAAAGCCCCCCATGATTGTAACAAGTTTTTTTTTTTTTTTTTTTGCTGAATGGCAATTTTCAAGGGAACTAATGCTGCACAACCGAGAGCCAAGCATTTGGCTCATGGTAGCAGAGTGGACCCACTGACTTGAATGGCTGTTTGGCAGGTGGTGCCAACTGTCCGTTGGACATGCTGCAATACAAAGCATCACGGCCGCAACACTTTAACAGCCACCCCTAGCTGTAAAGCTGGCTTTAGGTGGGTGGCAAAATCACGACTTAGCAGCCATTTTTTCATCTTTCCCCACCCACCCTTTGAGAAGAAGGCCTACAACAGGTTGTCTTAGCTAATGTTTTGTGTGAATGAGCCCTTGGAGCCAATCACTAAGAGCCAGCATTGACCCATCAGAGAAAAGGGATTGTGTCATGTGCTGTCCCATACCTTGAAGTACCAAGCAAACGTTGTGACTTTTGTTCAACGTGCATAAAATTCATATATGAACCTGCCCCATTGCCAAGCCATGATAAATCCCCTGATATAACCGGGAAACGCTTAAAACCAAAAACTCTTCTGTATTTACATAAATATGTTTATTTACAAAAATATTACAGGAAAACAATCTAAAAACTGTTGCAAGTATGCATTTCATTAAAATTCTTATATAGGTATCACCAACATGTTAATTTTAAGCCTAGGAACATCTGAACCTTTTAAAGATCCTCCTGGGAACTGTACAGTCAGTGAGGAATGCACTAAAGAGTGTGCTACAGAACAAGCCTTAAAAGCTGCTTTTACTGTAACACAGGCCAGTGAATCACCAGGCGTTTGACAGATGATCCATACAAGTTATTAAGGCTGCAATAAGGAGGTACAGCCATTTTCAAAGCAATAAGCCAAAAAAAATTCCAAACAGACCTAATGACCTGCAGGGCAACTAAATCAATTTTCTTTTCTTCTATAAAGCCGATCTTAGGTGTTATCAATGTCCAGTCAATGGCATGGTTGTAAAGTCCAACTTCAAGCAAACCGCTACATACACAGATGAAACAAACTGTTTTACCTGCCAAAGGCTTTGTATTTCTATCCATCCAGTCATGAGATTCACACTGCTCTGCCACACTGGAGACTTGATTTTAATCTGCTGCGGTTTCATAGCATTTACAAGTCTTGTTCGGCCCCAAGTCTGTGACTGGACAGTGAAAGGAAAAGCAGCACACAGATGAGCTTTGTCTCTCTTTCTCCCTACTCTCTCCTTTCAGTAGGCTTCTTGTGCTGATTCTCCGTCTCCCAATCTGAGTGCTGCTGTACATAGACCGCAGGAGGCTGATACCAAGTTAAAGCAGTAGACAACTGATTTTGGGGGTACAAAAAAAAATTTTCCCCCGCAGGGTGAAGTCACAATGTGCCAGTATGAACCACATACTAACACATTATGACAGACTTACCTGTAAAACCGATTCCTGACCGCTGACAGGGAATTCATCTTCACCCGGTCTTCCTTACGGGTACGCCGGCTTTGGTCGCCTGAATAGCCGAGCTGAGATGATGTCACTCCCATGCATGTGCGGGGGTTATGGCCAAAGTAGAGTTCTCTCAATGGATGGCGTGTCGTCCATTGGGAGCAGAGCGCGCATTTGCCAGTGAAGTCAAAGGCTGCTTCACATTTAAATATCTCCTAAACCGTGCATGTTTATTAGATATTTACGATACCCACAGCTAAGCCTTTGTAGGTACAAAACAAAGTTTACGCTCACTTTAAACTCAGGTACTGCTTGCATTTAATTATCTATTAATGAATACAGAACTGCATTTGTGTCTAAAAGTTACAGGGTCTCTTGAAAGCCACACCTGACCCTTTTATACTCACCTTGGCCATGTTAAATAAAAGTCGGGAGACCAAACACTTTGTAAGTTCTGTATTGAATGGTACTGGAGTTACACAGGGTACGAGTCTTCATCCTACTCGTGTGACAGTGGTCAGGCCTGAGCATTGCTTCCTGGAAGAAGGTAACTACTCCTACATATCCAGAAGCACCAAGTAACGGGTTGATGAAGATGGCGGCAGAACAGGGGATGGGGGGGGCCACTAACACAAAAGGATAATTTACACGCAACACAACAAAATTTTAGTAAGGAACCTACCTTGTGATAGAAAGCAGCCCCCAGAAGCACCAAGTAACGGGTTGATGAAGATGGCGGCAGGACAGGGGATGGGGGGGGCCACTAACACAAGAGGATAATTTACACGCAACACAACAAAATTTCTAGTAAGGAACCTACCTTGTGATAGAAAGCACCCCAGAAGCACCAAGTAACGGGTTGATGAAGATGGCGGCAGGACAGGGGATGGGGGGGGCCACTAACACAAGAGGATAATTTACACGCAACACAACAAAATTTCTAGTAAGGAACCTACCTTGTGATAGAAAGCAGCCCCAGAAGCACCAAGTAACGGGTTGATGAAGATGGCGGCAGGACAGGGGATGGGGGGGGGCCACTAACACAAGAGGATAATTTACACGCAACACAACAAAATTTCTAGTAAGGAACCTACCTTGTGATAGAAAGCAGCCCCAGAAGCACCAAGTAACGGGTTGATGAAGATGGCGGCAGGACAGGGGATGGGGGGGGGCCACTAACACAAGAGGATAATTTACACGCAACAGAACAAAATTTATAGTAAGGAACCTACCTTGTGATAGAAAGCAGCCCCAGTCAGCACCATAGACACCTCATTGGTCCACTCGGACTCATATTTCCACTTGTTCATCTCGTGGTCCCACAGATGGAGACGTCCTGGGTAGCCCACCAGCCGGTCAGGAAACTCCCGCCAAACCTGCCAAGGTGTGACAAGAAAGACTTAATTCCAGGAGGAGAACTAATTCATTAGGTCTTTTTATACCCAGGAGAAAAGGTCCATGTTGCCCAAAGCAGTCAAATCTGCTTCTTTAATTTCCAACCTGCAATAGAATATTATCACCTGGAGCATGACGAGCTGCAACCTGCATATCCTCTCCTCCTATCAGCTTGTGACTTGTTAGCACATGAGCACTGCAGGATAACTGATGGGCTCTTTGTAGATCACGGAGGCCTCTATGACTTAGCCAGAAAAAGGGCGAAATGCGTCGGAGTTCTCTACAGGTGGAGAACAGGCACTGAAGCCATCTTTTACCCATCTCATTCAAATTTATGCAACATGGCGTTGATGTCTGTGTGCAGATGGCCACCATTTTGTTGAAGTCTACTGGAGCCTGACAAGTTGATTCTGTCTCTCTTGCATCAGTCTTTTCACATGATGATCCAACTGAGAAAGGTTTGGAGGGGCATTCGAGCAGTACTATTTTCATTGTTTTGGACTTCAGCTTTATTATAAACTGTTTAGAGAAATATATACGTTGCCATTGTAAACCTATCCTTCGGAGGATGCTTATCTTCCGGCTGTTATTCTGATGTATAAACTGAAAGGGATACTAAAGCTTCGTTTTTTTTAAAAAAATAAAATAACAAACATGTCATATTTACCTGCTCTGTGCAGTGGTTTTGCATACAGCTGCCCTGATCCTCTTCTTTTCGGGTCCCCCGGCTGGTGCTCCTGGCTCCACCCCCCTCGAGCAGTACCCCCAGAGAAAGTTGCTTGCCCTGGGGGCACCACTGCATGCTCTTTCCCAAGCCGCTGCTCTATGGGTCTACAAGACACATAGGGCTGTGGCTTGGCCCCACCCCCCTAGCGCTCTCCTCACTGGCTGTGATTAACAGCAGCAGGAGCCAATGGGCTCCAGCTGCTGTCTCAGCCAATGAGGAGAGAGGGTCCCCATACAGCCGGCTATTGTGAACATCGCAATAGGGGGGGGGGGCTCAGATAAGTATTGGGCGGGGAGGGGGGGCACTGCCCACAGAAAGTTTTTTACCTTCATGCATAAAATACATGAGCCTTTTGAACCACTTTAAATGTTTGCAAACCTCTCTTTAAATTCCATGAGCTAGGGAGTTGCTCCAGGTCAATTACCTAAAAAAAACCCTAGAAAAACAGAATTATCAGGAATCTAGTAATGGAAGCCTTTGTATTTCTTCCATGACGAGTGTACTTTGACTCAGATTGGCTTTTGTAGGGTGATATGGACTGTCTGAGACAGTCTTTTCACTCTAGAGGAACCCCTAAAATAATTTTAAGGTCTCAGGGAACCCTTACTAAAACCAATTAATTGGAGGTAAATAGCAAAAAGGGTGGTCAGTAGGAAAAATGCAACTCTTACAGTAGTGGTCAGAATGCCACCCTTACAGCCTTTTAGCCGAAGCGGGTCGGCCATCTTTCTCTAGAAGGTTCACCCTAATGACCATGAAGAATAATAGTAGGTCTTCAGTGCTCCTCGTATGGCCTTCATATCTTGCCATATATATTTCTACCAAGAAAAAAAATTTGTATCTCATGTGATCTTCTGATTTCTCCAATGGTGCGGAAAAGAACAGAGCCGATCCTGAGTATTATTGGCTTGGGCAGGAACTGTCTCCTTGTACACAGAAACAAAGGGTCTAATGCAGCCTTTCTCAACCTTTTTTTACCCAGAGGAGCCCCTAAAACAATTATCAGGTTTCATGGAACCCTTATTAAAACCAATTCATTAGAGGTCAATAGCAAAAATGCCTTACATTGATGGTCAGTAGGAAGAATGCAATCCTTACAGTAGTGCCCAAAATGCTAGATCATTGGTGTTATGCTCCTGGCTCTGCCAAGTGGCATTGGCCTTGGAACTATACTGATACCATCAAATGGGAGGCCAATCTGCCACAGCTGAAGGAACCCCTAACAATTTCTAGGTTTCATGGAACCTTGGTTGAGAATGGCTGGTCTGAGAAAATTCTCCAGGGTTACTTGTTCACTGTATAAGATAATTCTTCTCTTCAGACTGGTTGGTGTGGGACTATACAGACTTAGGCTGTCCAAAGATAGGCAAATATCTAAGAAAGAAGGTCTGGGAAATATCTGCTAGTCTTTTCAAGACTCCAGCAAGCACCTGAACCCACCACATCACCAATGTTGGCAGCCATGTACAGTTGTGTACAAAATAATAGCAGTCAGACCTCACTAACCTGATCATTCACTGTTTTTGGTAGAAATGATATTTCTACATGGCAAATAATTTCCTAGCAGGTGGTGTAGTAGAGTAATAGAAATCCAACAGACCCAAAAGTCATGACATGCATGCTGCTGATTCTCTGTAATTGAATCATTAATTGAAAGGGGCATATTCAAAATAATAGCAGTGTGGAGTTCTATTAGTGAGGTCATTCATTCTTTGAAAAACAGGTGGCAATTATTGCCCTTATTTAAGGAAGGAAGGCAGCAAATGTACATGCTGGTTACAGTGCATTTCTCTCTGAAAATCTGAGGAAAATGGGTCGTTCCAGACTTTGTTCAGAAGAACAGCGTATCTTGATTAAAAAAAGTTGATTGGAGAGGGGAAAACATATAAAGAAGTGCAGAAAATGATCGGCTCCTCAGCTAAAATGATCGCAAATGCTTTAAAATGGCAACCAAAACTTGAAAGATGTAGAAGAAAGCGAAAAACTACCATTCAAATGGATAGAAGAATAGCCAAAATGGCACAGACTCAGCCAACAATCAGCTCCAGGAAGATGAAAGAAGGTGTAAAGTTCCCTGTGAGGACTGTTACAATTAGAAGACGCCTATGTGAAGCCAAGCTATCTGCAAGAAGTCCCCGCAAAGTCCCACTGTTGGAAAAAAGACGTGTGCTGAAGAGGTTACAATCTGCCAAAGAGCACATTGACTGGCCTAAAGAGAAATGGCGCAACATTTTGTGGACTGATGAAAGTAAGATTGTTCTTTTTGGGTCTAGTGGCCGGAGACAGTTTGTCGGACGACCCCCAAACACTGAATTCAAGCCACAGTACACTGTGAAGACAGTGAAGCATGGTGGTGCAAGCATCATGATATGGGGATGTTTCTCATACTACGGTGTTGGGCCTATTTATCGCATACCAGGGATCATGGATCAGTCTGAATACATCAGAATACTTGAAGAGGTCATGCTGCCTTATGCTGAAGAGGAAATGCCCTTGAAATAGGTGTTCCAACAAGACAACGACCCCAAACACACCAGCAAACATGCAACATCTTGGTTCCAGACCAACAAGATTGACGTTATGGAGTGGCCAGCCCAATCCCCGGATCTTAATCCAATAGAAAACTTGTGGGGGTGACATCAAAAATGCCATTTCTGAGGCAAAACCAAGAAATAGAGAAGAACTGTGGAATGTAGTCCAATCATCCTGGGCTGGAATACCTGATCACAGGGGCCAGAAGTTGGGTGACTCCATGCAACACAGATGTACAGCAGTTCTCAGAAACAGTGCGACTACAACCAAATATTCATGAAGTCATTCAAAGGAAAGCAAAATCTTCAAACATTTTTCAGTTTATATAGTGAATGTTTGAGTTTGTAAAGAAGAATACAAACTGCTATTTTTTTGAACCGTCTAATATTCACTTTTCTTCAATTTTTTTTTAGAGGAACAACACAAATGTGACATATTTTTTTTCATGTTTTGATTTGGAATAGAATGTGTTGTGTTCCCAATGCATTTGTGTGGATGGAAATAAAAGCTATTAGAAGGATTTTGAGCTTTATTCACTTTTTTCAACACACTGCTATTATTTTGAACACAACTGTATGTTCAGTACTGAGAAACCTTCAAGCTTCCCTGTGAGTGAAGGATCAGAATCCGATCAAAGGGCAATCTCCAACCAGATTGGAACTCTTCCTGTGCAACAACAACCTCCATCTGTCTGAAGGACCCATTATCACCCCCAAGCACAGCTTCAACAGTCTAAAAATTGCAAGCAATGTCTTCCTAGAAATAAACCCTCTGTGGCAATATGGACTGTCCGAAAGAAATGTTCCTTCATGCTGAACCACGTAGAGCAATAGCATTTTCCCACCAATAGGTCTGGTGATATAATATGGACTCTCTGAAATAACTCTTTCCCATAACTTGTTTATGTGGAGCAATACAGACTGCCTTCCTACAAATAGGTCTTGTGGAGTAATATGGATTGTCTGTAAAAACTCCTCTGATATACAGGTTCATGTGGAGCAAAGCAGGGTGTCTTCCTAAAAGTAAGTCCTGTGGTGCAACGTGGACTGTCTGTGAGAACTGTTCCGATATACCGGTTCCTGCAGAATAATACCAGACTTTCTCCCAACAACAGGTCCTGTGGTGCACTACAGACTGTTTAGGAGAACACTTCCCCCAGGTTAGTCATCATGAGGAAATACAGACCATCTGAAACATGTAGCTTTCATACGCAAGGACCTGTTACTGGGACCAACAGGGATAAACCATGCATATAAGGGGGGTGATGGTGGCGTGAAGGCTTTGTAACAGTGCCATATACAGACATGTCACCCCTCCACCCCGAATGTGCAGCTGGATACAATCAGGCCCGGGTCTCTTGTCACTTCATTCATAACCTGACCGCTGACAACAGGATCAAAACTACAGGAAAGTCAGAGCAGGCCGCGCCATCATTAGCAGCACCCCGAAATGTTAAACAAGCTACTGGCCACATTAATAGGCCTGATTTACAGGCATGAAGGGGGGTGGGGGGGTGGGGGGTCTGGCAGGACGTCTAGATGAAGGTGAGGCGAATGGTCACTGGAATCACAAAACAAGCTTCGAATACAAGTGTTCAACAGGCCAAACTTAACCGGAGGTTATCTCTTCACTGCGACTTAGGTCCGGAACCCAATTGGACTGGGCAGTCTTTTCCAACGCAGTCCCAATACATAGACAAATGAATTTGCTCTAAGTTCCACG